GCGGGCGAGGGGCGACGGCCGGAGGCTGCTGGGAGGCCGGGGTGGGGGCTGGACGCTCCCCTCGATCCCGACGGGACGCGTGGGGACTCGGGGGGCCGCGGGGTCCGAGGCGCGGGCTCGGGGGGCGGAGAAGGCGTGCCCAAGATGCAGATCGGGGCCCCGCCCCGGGGGACGGGTGTCCGGGGCGGCGGGGCTGGACTAGCGAGGTGTGAACGCCCCGCGGGCTGGTGGGCGGCTCGGAGCCCGGGGCGCACGCGTTGCTTTTGCGTTCCTGGGGTTCGGGGCCCCCGCGGAGGTGGAGGGCGGGGCTGGCCTTGGCAGGAGCCCCCTCTCTGGAACAAAGGGCTGGCTCGCTGGCGCAGCGGCCGGCTGGCCACCTGCTGCCCGCCCTCCCGCTCCTGGGCTCCCGACGATCCTTTTGCCGGGTTCCTGCCGGGGTGGGGGTGTCCGGCAACGTGGTCCACCACCTGCCTCCGAGGTCCCCTCTGGACTTTGTCCTCCCCGATTTGCGGGAGCCGCGGCAGAGGAGCTTGGGGCTTAGTGGCCAGGACACGCATCCCGGTGGGGGTTTCTGGAAAGGGCAGTAGCCTCGCAGTGGGCAGCCTGGAGCCTGTGTGCTTGCTCCCAGACTACCACCCTCCTGGACAGCCGGCCTGGAACCCGAAAGATGGGATTTTGTCCGGGGGCCAGTGCAGATCCCCACCCTTGCTTCTCCTGTTGGGTTTCCAGTCGGGGTGGACGCTGCCCAACCGCCCCCTGCCCCCTAGCCAGCAGCCTTCCCATCCCTCCATCCTTCAGTGGTGTGACCCTCCTGGGTGACAGATGTTGAAGAGTGTGGGTGTCTGCTGTCCCCTTGGGGAGGTGACCTCGCACTGAGCCAGGCTGTGTGATGACATGGTGAGAGGTGATGCCCCGCCCCCCGCAACCTCTGGTCAGGCCAGGGCTGCAGCCGAGTGTGGGCCCACTGTGAGAGGCCCCGGTGATGAACCCCTGGCTCCAATGGCTGGCTGGTGGAGGACGACAGATAATGACAGCTGTCCTGTCTTCTGAGACCAGGCACCTGGTTCTCCTCACCAGGGTAAGGGCAATTTAGTATCAGAGCTGTGTGACCATTGCCCCCAGCCAATCCTAGCGTGACCCCCTCACCTGGCAGGAGCCTGCGCCCATTAACAGTCCCCTCGCTGCCTCAGGCTGTCAGGTGACGTGGACAAGCTGTGGTCAGTCACGACCTTGTGTCATTGCAGTTTCTCGAGGGTCTCTGCTTCTCCAGACATGATGTCCGTCCAGGGTCTGGCGTGGGGAGGTGTCCAGAGTGTGTGAGGTGCAGCCTGGCCACCCTGCAGGACGGACTCGAGCTCCGGCCAGCAAATTCCGCACAGCGCCCACTCACCCACCTTCTGCCTCCACTCCACCCCGAGGTGGAACAGCAGAGGGGGTGACAGCAAGGGGCGTCTGCAGGGCCCTGCACCTCCCAGGGCTGGGGCAGGAGTTAGAAGCTGTGGGCCCTGTCCTGCCCCGGGCACCTTCACGTTAGCCCTCCAGAACCTTGGGGATGGCTTCCTTGGGGTCTCAGTGCTCCAGCCCCACACAGGCTCCCGGGTTGGGGGAGGTGTGTGCCTGTGTCCTTAGACAGTGTCCAGAGAGGCTGGGGTGCCAGACCCTGGGCCAGGGAGTGGCCTTGAAGGCAGAGAGCTGTTGGGGTGGCGGCCTCCATGAGGCTTTGTCCAGAGGGCTGAGCATCCGCGGGGACTGGGCACAGGGTCGGAGCGGTGCTGAGCACCTGGCACGGGTCCACCCTGCTTTCCTTTAACAGCCTGGTGGCGTTGGCGTGCTGACACCTTGGCTTCCGAGTGGTCTTGGAGCACTCTTGGGGTGTGATGGTGGCACAGCCCGAGCGGGAGCCAGCCCCTGGCACCACTGACCTGTTCTCTGTGTCCCTGGCATGTCAGTGGGATTGGACACTAGTGGCCCTGTGTCTGGGCTCTCCCTCAGCATTGTGGTTTTGAGGGTGAGCTGGTTCTGAATTGATGGTACCTGACAGTGTCATCCACCGTGTGGTCCCTTAAGGCCGCGTGCCATCCTTTGCCCCGTGTCCAGCTTGTCTATCACCTCCTGCCTCTGCGTATGGCCGTTGAGGGCAGCACGTTCGTGTCCAGCTGTGTGTGCCTGGGGGTCTCTTTAGGGTGTGGAGTCGCTAGGTCACGTCAGGGCCTCTCCCTGGTGGCAGCACCACCTCGGGCCCTCAGCCTTGGTGGCCACGGCAGCCAGGCCACGTGTCCAGCATGACCTTGTGTGACACATAGAGCCTGTAAGTTGGCACTGACTTCACAGCAAGAGCCCCACGGACACTCACTTCTGACTGCCTGCAGCTCTTGGGGTTCAGGCTCCTAGTCATAGCAGGAAATCCTCCTCCGATGCCCATACCACGAGGAAGAGGTCACTCTCGAGTGTCCCTCACATGCCCTTGGGGTTTTTTCATGGGCATGCTTGAACCTTCACCCAGTGTGTGGTCAGCTTGGTGCCTGACCTGGACTCGCAGTGGCTGCAGGGAGCGGCTGGGCTTGGGGAGGGACTGTGGTGGGTGCCATGGCCGGGCACTGACCCTCGGCTCCCTGCCCGCAGCCCCAGTGGGAAGAAGTTTCGGAGCAAGCCCCAGTTGGCACGCTACCTGGGTGGCTCCATGGACCTGAGCACCTTCGACTTCCGCACGGGCAGGATGCTCATGAGCAAGGTGAACAAGAGCCGGCAGCGGATGCGCTATGACTCCTCCAGCCAGGTCAAGGTGAGCCACTCCCCAGGCCAGGTCAGGGTGAGCGACTCCCCAGGCCAGGTCAGGGTGAGCGACTCCCCCAGGCCAGGTCAGGGTGAGCGACTCCCCCAGGCCAGGTCAGGGTGAGCCACTCCCCAGGCCAGGTCAGGGTGAGCCACTCCCCAGGTCAGGTCAGGGTGAGCCACTCCCCAGGTCAGGTCAGGGTGAGCGACTCCCCCAGGTCAGGTCAGGGTGAGCAGGGCCTGCAGCTGGGGGAGCCCCCTTCCTGCCGTGCTTTCACAGTGGTGGGAATGGAGGAAGGCCCGCAGTGGAGTGCTCCGCCCAGCCCTGGGGAGGAGAGATTAGAACCTAAATTGAGGCAGCCAGGCTGAGGAGGGGACAAGATGGGTGTGTGACTGGGGTGGGGACACGAGCCCTGCAGGGTAGGTGGGTGATGGGTCCTCAGGTGACTGAGGCGTCCACACTGAGAAGTGAGGTGCAGTGAGGTGATGGCTGCCTCAAACACGGGAGTCTCTAGTATCAGGAGAAGACAGGTGGCCAGCATGCTGACTGACCTGGGACCCAAGGTCAGCAGGGCGTTTGCGCAGTTGGTACAGGCAGCACCCTGACCATCCCCTGGAATCCAGGCTGGGGGGCCTTTCCCATCGTGCTGGCAGGCGGGGCAGGTGAGTCCTCTCGGGGCAAAGCCTCCACGTACTGTTCCCGCAGGGCAAGCCCGACCTGAACACTGCACTGCCGGTGCGGCAGACTGCGTCCATCTTCAAGCAGCCGGTGACCAAGATCACCAACCACCCCAGCAACAAGGTGAAGAGTGACCCCCAGAAGGCTGTGGACCAGCCCCGACAGGTGAGCTGTCCCTGCTCGGAGCCTCCCGGCCCTTAGCTGCTGGGGGGTTCTGGGCAGTGGGGTGCTCAGCCGCTGCCTCGTCCTGGGACAGCTTCACAGACCAGGGCCACTTGAAAGGTCATGGGCTCGTTGCTCACTTGCAAGCTGTGTGGCCCCTCTGTTCGGCTGTGATGACCACTGGCCTGCAGCCAGAGAGCTCCTCGGCCTCATCATGCAAAGTGTCGGCTGGGGCCTGACCCACACATCTGTGTACAGAGAGAGCGGGGTCTTCTGCGGTGAGGAGGACTGGTCCCAAGCTGAGCTTCTGGGCTCCCTGACTTCGAGATGGGGGAACGGGGACATGCGTGCCCAGGGAGGTGGCTGTCCTGAGTTCACCGGAGCTCGGCACGCCGGGACCAAGGCAATGAGCGGACATGCCCGGTAACCTTGGCAGACTGCAGCCCCTCCAACCACAGGGGAAGTAGGTTCTGGTTGGTCATGATCAGTCCGTGACCCAGGACCCTCAGCTGGATGGTCACTAGAGGCAGTGGCCGGTCCACACTCGCTGTCCCCGGCCCTGTGAAGTCCTCGTGCGATAGAGGGCAGGGAGTCATGGCTGGACCATGAGCACAGCTGCCAACACGCAGGACTTGCAGAATGCTGGCCTGTGGACCTGTCAGGTTCCTGCCTCTCGGTGACCACACTCAGACCCTGACTGTCCAGTCGAGGGCTAGGGAGACTGCACCCCACGTGTCCTCCACAGGCTCCATGGAGGCCTTCTGCTGGGCTGGTGGCCCCACGTCCGTCCGCCTCTGCCTTCGCACAAAACGATCCCTGAGACACATATACCCACCCCTGCTCCATAAACTCCACTGGCACACACATCTGCTCCGTGTCCACGTGCGCGCACAGAACATCCGCTCTGCACACACATCTCCGTGTACACGTGCACGCACACATCTTCACACTGAGGACATCCACTCTGCACACACATCTGTAACATCACACACACACACACACACTCCCTCCCTCCCTGCTCCGTGCAGCCAGCAGAGACCCTGTACTAATCCCCTCTATACAAGTTGCAAGCAACTCGACGGCACATAACAACAACAATACAAGTTGCAAAGACCGGTTTCCCAAACAAGCTTGTACTCACCAGGGTCAGGATGAGGGCAGGGCTCGGGGGTACAGGCCAACCTGCAGGGGTGTCTGAGGACCCTCCCACAATGCCCAGGGGTGCCAGGGGCTTCTGAAGCAGGGCTTTACGGGTTCAGTTCCAGCATTCGTCACCAGAGTCGCTGCGCAGAGCTCAGCATTTATGGTCACCATGTGCATGTGGCCGGGGGCGCCAGGCAGCTCTCCTTACATGACCCTCCCCGGAGATACGGGTAGACAAGCCAGTGAGGGTGCTTAGACCATGTCCACCTGTCCTGTTTCTGCCCTGGACGGGAGCTCAGAACAAACTCAAGTGGCAAGAAGCTGCCCTGCAATCCTGAAGGCAAGAGTTCGAGGCCACCAGCTGCTCTGCAGGAGAAGGATGGCCAGTCTCCTCCAGAGGGACTGACTGCTGGTCAGCGATGGGTCAGTTCCAACTTAACAGTGACTCAATGGTGTGCAACAACAACAGCTGGTGGTGTGGACGGCAGTGACCACACTGCTGGGCTTCCCACTGCCCAAACTTCTCTTCCGATGCCTCGTGGCTGTGCCTACAGAGGACTGTCCTGCCCGCGAACCTGTGGGTGAAGTGGGAGTGGGGTCAGGGTCAGCGGGCTGCCCGCTCTACCCCTCACTGTGTCCTCTGGTCACTGTCTCCTCTGGTGCAGCTCTTCTGGGAGAAGAAGCTGAGCGGCCTGAACGCGTTCGACATCGCCGAAGAGCTGGTCAAGACCATGGACCTGCCCAAGGGGCTGCAAGGTGACTGGCTGCCTGGGGGCACCTGGGGTGGGTGAGCCAGCACCCGGGATGGGCCCCGGGAACCCGTGCGGCTCCGTGCTGTGCCCCTGTGTGCTCCCTGCATGCCTGCCCACCTCAGGGCCAGTGACGAGCGCTCTGGTGCCCACCCACCAGGTGTGGGGCCCGGCTGCACGGACGAGACCCTGCTGTCAGCCATTGCCAGCGCCCTGCACACCAGCACGATGCCCATCACTGGGCAGCTGTCAGCTGCTGTGGAGAAGAACCCGGGGGTCTGGCTCAACACCACCCAGCCCTTGTGCAAGGCCTTCATGGTGACCGACGAGGACATCAGGTAGCCGCCAGGCCGTGGACCCGCTCAGCTCGAGCTGGACCACGTGTCCAGGGTCTTGTCCTTTGAGGGTGGCTGAAGGGCCTGGTTGCACCTTGTCTCTGAGGAGACCCCTTCTTATCCCTGCCAGTGGTCAGGCAGAGCCGCCGGACAGGTGGCAGGAGGTGGATGAGGGAGCTGGGTGACACTGCTCAGGGCTTCCCACGTCTGGACACACGTGCGGGGCTCGTTTGTGTGGAGAGGGAGTAGGAGGTGGGTAGTTTCCTGGGAACCAGCACGCGTGGACACTAGCGACAGCTGGGAGAGGTGGTTACCCTCCCGGGGCTCCCTCCTGCCTGCTGGTCACGTTCCGCCTGCCCTTCCACCCCGTTCTCTGAGAACCAGCCAGGTCTCGAGTGACCCCAGGATTACCTGCACCCTCTGCAGTGGCCCTGTCCACTCTGGGGTCCCTGGGCTCTTGGAGGCCCGTCCTCAGAGGACAGAGCACAGCACGTGAACCCCACACTCACCCGGCCCTCGGCCTGTGCCCCCAGGAAGCAGGAGGAGCTGGTCCAGCAGGTGCGGAAGCGCCTAGAGGAGGCGCTGATGGCCGACATGCTGGCCCACGTGGAGGAGCTGGCCCGCGACGGGGACGCGCCGCTGGACAAAGCTGGCCTGGAGGAGGACGACGAGGAGGATGAAGAGGAGGAGGAGGAGCCCGAGCCAGACCCCGAGCTGGAGCACGCCTAGGGGCGGGGCCGGGCCGCCCCTCACTGCTGCGTGTTCCGGGGTCTCAGCAGAGGGCGCCCTGCGCCTGGACTGCCGCCTGCTGTGTGCCCAGCGCAGCCCTGCTGCCCCGAGACCAGACCCTGACTTCCGAGGCCAGAGCTCCTGTGGGAGCGGGAGGCAGGCAGGCGGCGGTGGGCCCTCCACACCTCGTCTCCGTGCCCCGGAAAGGGGTGTGGGCACAACCAGGCCTCCCCCGACGCTGCTGTGGACACGGCTGGAGGGCCGCCCTGATGCCGCGGCCGGGCTCAGAAGGGCCTCCTGTGTGTGCGTGATTGTGACCAAGGCTGGGCCTGGTGCTGGTCGCTTCGTGTGCTGCTGGAGGGGATAGCCTGGCTCCTGGACACCTGCGACCACCTGGAGGCCGGTCCTGTGGGCCGTGGGCTCTGGACATGGCTGAAGAACTGGCGGGGGCCCGTAAGCGGGCAGTGCTGGGAAGCTGGCCCGGACAGGCGCAGGTATCCTGTGGTGGAGACGGTGTGCCCACTCTGAGGGTCAGGCCTGGGCACTGTTGGTCTGCAGCCCCAGCTCCGTGTCCCCACGTTGGTCAGCCAAGCCGGGTTGCGGCACCCAGTCAAGCATGGTTGTCCTGCCCCACCATGCTGGACGGCCGGCCTGGACAGCAGGTGGGAGGCTGCCTCAGTTTCTCTTGGTGGACATGGCCTCCTGGGTGGAGACAGGCCAGGGCCGGACCCTCTTGGGAATAGCCAGCCCTGCCGCTCTGTCCCCAGTTCCTGCCCATTGTCCGGGCTCCTCAATCTTGAGGACACTCGGGCCAGAATAGCCTGTGTCTCGGCCTCAGGCACTGGACAGTTCCAGTCCAGGTGTCTCTGGCCAGCTGGCACCTCTGCCTGCCATCCCCCACCCTGGATCAGTTGGGCAGGGAATCCATGGCACAGGTGCGACCATGGGCAATGGATACTGGGGACTTGCCGCCCCTTGCTCCTTCCCAAGCTTGGTCTCAACGCTGGACAGCCCTGCTCTAAGCCAAACCTGGTAGGCGAGGCCTGCTCGGTGGGGCAGCTTGGGCCTCAGCCCCTGCAGGAGGCAGCCTCGCGGGGACAGGACTGCTGTGTCCACGGCCAGTCGGGGAATAAAGCCATCTGGGTAGTGTGACTGGAGCCTGACTTCCTTTGTGTGGGACGTGGCGGGGCTGGGCCTGCACCCTGCTCAGGCCCAGGGGTGAGGGCGCACAGAGCTGTGTGGTCTAGTCACAGCCGCTGGCCTGCTGCCCGGAGGCCTGGTCCCCAGGTCAGTCCACTTCCCACTCCTGTCAAGGCTGCTGGCCCTCGGTCCCTGTGAGCTGGACGAGGACAGTGCAGTGGGTACCAGAAGGGGACAGCCTGGTGGTGCAGTGGCTAGCACCTGGCCATGGACTGGGAAATTGGGTCAAATCCACCCGGCTTTCTGTGGGAGAAAAATGAAGCTGTTCACTTCCCAGAGATTTGAGGCCCACGGGCCTGTCCTCTGTCCCTTAGCCTCCTGGCCTCACATGGGCCCCACTGCCTGGCAGCCGCCTCTAGGATCCTTGCCTGGGGGAGCTCGTGCCCCCCAGGCTCTTCAGCCTTGGTCAGCTGACAAGTAGCCCTTTGAGAGGGGTGGGCCATGGTCAACATCGTGACTCCGAGGGTAGGAACCCTTAAGCATGGCCAGTCCTGAAGACCTGTGTGCTGTCTCCTGGGCAGATCCTAGCCTCACATGGTGAACCCTTGGGGCCTCCCAGCTTTCCCATGTCCATCTGCTCACACAGGCCTCTCACAAGGACAGCCATGGTGCCCTTTGCCCTCTGAGATCCTACATGTCAGTGGACGGGAGCTGGGCTGCCTTGGCTGGGGGTGTACATGCCCCCACCCACCCACGGGCCTACCACGAGGCCTGCGTTGGATACCCCAGTAATGAGCACTGGAAAAGGTGACATGCTCACAGGCTGGGCCTCTGGCTTTTACGTTGGGGGTCCCTGAACAGACCTGCCCTGGGCTGTGCTCACAGGAACCGAGGGTCTCGGTGGCTTTCCCGCCCGACAGTTTTAAGTCCCCCGCACTGGAGAGGGGTCCCATCACAGCTCCTTGGGGTTGGGGGAAACACATGCTGGTGGAGGGGACCAGTCCTTGGAGAGGGACATGACGCTGGAAAGGCGGCAGGTCAGAAAGGCAGAACCTCGAGGGCGGCATGTTGGAAGCAGCACTCAATCCGGCAGGGCACCACACAGTCCTGGGCCTGTCCTGTCTGTAAAGGACATGTGTGTTCTTTCCTCCAGCCCTTTCTGCAGTAAGTGTGCACACAGATTTCTCACCCCCAACTCCAAGGGGACCCTGGGGTACAGTCTGCTGGACAGCACAGCACCACGTACACCCTCACATAAACCTCAGGGCAGGCAGGGCCACACCAGGTGCTGGAGTCTACCCACAACCCAGGGCCCGAGGCTGAGGCCTGCTGGCCGCCTCACTGCGCCCTCCAGGGAGTCCTTGTGTGCCAGCAAGTGGTCCCCGTGCAGCTGCCCCCATTGTGCCGAACCCATGCCCCACTCGCCTCAGGCCACCTCGTGGAGGGGTTCCTCCCCCACTGGCCTTCCGCTCTGGGGAGGCAGTTCTGTCCGGTGGCACGTGAAGGCCAAGGCCTTGGCATCGCAGACAATGTGCTCTCCACAGCACTCTGGTCTCACTCCACGTGTGGATGGCCAGTCCTGCCTGGTCTGGAAAGCCCTGCTGGACCCATGGGGTCTAAGCGGGATCCCACCGAGCAGTGGCACCCCCAGCATGAGGGTGACAGCGAGCTGTGATTTGACAGGTACGTAGTGGGGTTAGAGTGAACCCCTGGCCTGGACACAGCGCCTACCCCCACCAGCACAGCCCCAGCTTCACCCAGACATTTCCAAATCACCCTCAAAGGCCAGTGCTTTTTAACTCAAAATTCAGATTTCAAGCATGCACCCCGGGCCACTGGGATCACCCCGCCACCTCTCCACATTGCTCTGTCCTAACTTCCTGGGTGCAGTTTCAGACAGAGCAGAGCTGACCACAACACACACACACTGGTATGTAGTTTGTTTCCCCCAAAATCGTGTTAAAGACCTGCCCCTGGGCCTGACTTGGAAACCGGCTAAGTCAAGCCAAGGCATGCAGCTGTGGGTTCTAACTTGGGGTGACCCCCATGCTGACACAGGAGAGCCAGCCCCCCCAGGGTTTCCAAGCTGGAGCGGCTATGGGAGCAGTCTCGTGTACCTGCTGCCCCCAGGACTCCATACACGGGAGAGGTGGTAGGTAGACACCATCACTGGGCCGAGCACGACCTTTGCACAGCACATCTGAGCCCTGTCCTTGTGCCGTCGCCATCTCTGACACTCCAGTCTTCTCGGACCGTCTTCACCTTTCAAGCATGATGTCCTTTCCAAGGAAGAGCCCCTCGTAACAGAATGTGCAGAATCAGTCAGGCAAAGCTTCACCTCCTTGCCTCCAACCAGCACTGTGGCTACAGCCTCTCCAAGACACGCCTGCTCCACCATCCATGGGCTGTGCAGTGCTCTTCTCCAACACCACAGCTCAAGGGCACCAATTCTCTTGTCATCCTTATTCGCTGTCCAACTCTCTAAGGCATCATAAGTCACTGGAAAGATCACAGTTTGGATGAGGTGCACCTTAGTCTTTTAAACTGGCAACACTGTCCATCAGCAGTACAACAGGTCCCTGACAGCAGACTTCCTCTTGACTTCCAGCAAGTGGTGGGAAGTCGTGACACAGAGCTGTGACTGAGGACAGAGGTAAAGACCAGACACACGTGTCCAAGAAGGAACACAGCCCCACCAGAAGCCGAAGCTCCAAAGCGTGGTTGCCGGGGGGAGTTCCCGTCTGAGGTCACTCAGCCACCGAGTGGCCAGTGCAGGGAGGGAGAAAGCCCCCAGACAACAGCGTGAGATGGCAAGGCTAGCTTGCATGCTGGTGGCAGTGCTGAGGGAGCTGCACACCGACCCAAAGGCTGCCCGACTTGGGCAGTTCAAATCCACCAGCAGCTACGTGGGAGAAAGATGGACAAACTCCTCCTGTTAAAATTCCCTCTCCCGTAACACGGAGGGTGATCAGAAGCAGGAACTGACCGCCAGCGGTGGGTTTCAGCTTAGTGCCCACCTTGAACTGTTAGGAAGCTCGGGGCCAAAAGATCAAAGAGGCGTCCCGGAGAGGTTGCAGCCAGAGCGCTCCTCGGAAGCAAGGACGGCGAAGCTTTGCCTCACTTTGGGCATGCTGCCAGGAGAGGCTACTCCTTGGAAAGGTGGAGGGACGGTGAGAGAGGAAGCCCCCCCACCAGGTGGACGACGCAGGGACTGCAGCAAGGGGCTCGAGTGCCCCAGAGATTGTTAGGATGGCACAGGAGAGGACAGGCTCAGATCTGCTGTTCACAGAGCCGCTACGGGCTGCACTGGACTTCAGGGCACCTCAAAACAGCAATGGCAGCACAGGGGTAAGAAGGGGTACTTCCTCAAAACAACTATGAGGTATCATCCCACCCCAGTCAGAATTGCAAAATTTAACAGAACAGCAAGCAGCAAATGCTGGCGAGGTTGTGGAGAAACTGGAACCCTTATTCACTGTTGGTGGGAGTGCAAAATGGTGCAACCACTGTGGAAGGCGGTATGGCGCGTTCTCAAAATGTTGCAAATAGAAATACCATTTGACCCAGCAATTCCACTACTGGGAATATACCCCAAAGAGACCATAACTGACATCCAAGCAGATATATGCACACCCATGTTTACTGTGGCTTTGTTCACAATAGCAAGGAATTGGAAACAACCCAGGTGCCCATCAACAAAGGCTCTGGTATATTCACACAATGGTACTACGCAGCACTAAAAAACAAAGAACTCATGCAATATTATTCAAAATGGGTGAGCCTGGAGGACATTATGCTGAGTGAAGTATCTCAGTCACAAAGGACAAATACTGCATGGTGCCACTGTTGTAAAGCAGGAC